TGCCAACCTGATCTGCACAGTGAGACCCTGTCTCAAAAAAATAACAATAAAAATATAGTTAATGAGGTTAACAGCATATTAGACATTCTAGAAGAAAGGACTAGCAAACATAAAGCTATCCCAATAGAAAAACAAACACTGAGAAGCATTAGGGGAAAAACGGAACTAAGAAGCCAAGGACTGAAAAGGTACTTTAAGCCAACATCAAGCTAATCAGAGTTCTGAAAAAGAAGGGGGAGAAAAATATCTAAGAAAATAATGACCAATGTTTCTGAATTTGATGTAAACTTATAAACCCTATATTCATAATCCTACATCTACAACTATAATCCAGTGAGCTCCTTCCTAGGCAGAAGTATGGAAAAAACTGTCAGCACACACCATTATCAAATTATTTAAAATTAGTGATAAAGGTTTAAAGCAGAGAAAGAAAACCACCAGTAGATCAGATCTATAGGAAACATTAAGGGAAGTTCTTTGTACAAAAAGGGAAACAATATTGGGTGGGCCAGGTGTGGGGGCAAGTGCTTGTAATCGCAGCACTCAGGAGGCTGAGGCAGGAGGAGCACTGTGTGTTTGAGGCCTGACTAGGCTGTGTAACGCACTCAAGACCAGCCTGGACCACATAATGACACTGCCTCCAAAATCCAAAACAAACAAACAAATAAGGCATGAGTAAATACAAGATTTTAAACACAATTTTTAAAATACCTTTAAAAGAGAAGTCAGTTTTTAAGGCAAAATGATATATTACTGGCCTTAAACACATAGAAGTAAACCATACAGGAACAATAGCACAAAAGCTGGCAGAGAAGAAATAGAAATGTATTGTCATAAGGATCTTATATTTTAGATTACGTTGTAAAAATTAACTTGAAAGTAGGATGCAGTGAAATACTAAGACAATGATTGAAGCAAAACAAAGCAGAGATACAAATAATAAATTAAAAGGAAGATAAGTGGGATAGTAGAAGTGATTAACAACAAGGAGATACACAAAAAAGGAAGACTTGGGTCAAGAGAGGATGGAACAGAACTGCTGGGATGTAGATCAGTGGTGGAGCATTTGTCTAGCACGCAGGAGTTCGAGTTTAGCCCCTAGCAATGCACACACACACACATACACGCGTACAACACACACACATGAAAGAAAGGAATGAATAAATAGAAAACAGACAAGCTGGTGGATTTAAATTCAACTGTATGAATAACTACATGCAATGCAATTAGTCCTGAAACCCTAATCAGAAGGCAGAAATTGTCAGAATAGACTGCTGGATTAAAAATAAAAGCAAGACGCAATTATTTTCTGTCTCTAAGATACCCAAGTTAAATATAAAATCAAGGACAGATTAAAAGTAAAAGGATGGAAATATATGCCATGCTAACATAGTCCCCATTCCATATCCAGGTTTCTGAATCTGTGAAAGGAGTCTACCAGAGATCAGAAATCTTTTGGGAAAAAAGAAATTGTGTCTGTCCTGAACATGTGCAGACTTTTTTCCTATAATTTTTCACCAAATGATAAATATATAACAACAATTTATATAGTGTGTACATTATATAAGTGGTCTACAGATGATTTAAGCATATGGGAGGATACATTAGGCTATATGAAAACAATATGCCAATTTATATAAATATCTACTACCAGCTTCTGGGATCCACAGGGAACCCTGGACCACAGTGAGTCCTCAGTCCTTAAGGACACCAAGAGGTGATAGTGCCAATCAAAAGGAAATTGCAATGACTATACTAATATCAGAATCAGACAAGTACACTTGAGAGCAAGACTCATCCCCAGGAAGGAGAGTCATTTCCTCAAGAGAAAACAGAATTACAAAAACGTATATATACCTTAAATTAGCTTCAAATGCATAAAGGACAAATTGATCACAATACATAGAAAAATCCACAATTCTAGTTGGAGATTTCAACATTCTTATTTCTTTTCTTTCTTTTTTTTTTTTGTCTTTTTCATTTTTTTCGGTACTGGGGATCGAACTCACGACCGCCTGCTTGCAAGGCAGGTATTTATGCCACTGAGCTAAATCCCCAGCCCCTCAACATTCTTATTTCAGTAGTTGATATAACAAGTGGACAGCTGGGCATGGTGGTGCACGCCTATAATCCCAGCACTAGGGAGACCAAGGCAGGAGGATTGTTGTGAGTTCAAGACCAACCTGAGCTACAAAGTGAGCTCGAGGCCAGCCTGAACTGCATGGTGAGATCCTGTCTCAAAAACAAAACAGAACAAAACAAAACAAACAAAAAACTAATTAGACAGAAAGTGGCAAGGATTTGGTAGATTTGAACAAAAAACTCTGTGGATTGGACCTAACTGAAGTTTTAAGAATATACTGCTATAAAAATAGTGATGGTGGGGCTGGGGATTTAGCTCAGCGGCATAAGCGCCTGCCTTGCAAGCAGGCAGTCCTGAGTTCGATCCCTGGTACCAATAAAAAGGAAAAAGACAAAAAAAAAAAAAAAAAATAGTGATGGTGTCTTCTTTCTAATGTCTGTGGAATATTTACTGAGATAAATAATCTAAGTCACACAAACATACATGTTTAAAAGGCCATGAGCAAAAAAAAAAAAAAATCACAGAGGAAATTTGAAAATATTTTGATTAAAACAACATAAAATAGAATGTATTTAGAGGGAAATTTGTAATATTGAACAGGAATAGTGAGGTATATGGATTCACATTCAATGACCTCAACTTTCTCTTAGGTAATTGCAGAGGAAAAATTATACCTAAAGCAGAAACAATGATAAAATGAAGATAAAAGCAGAAAACAATTGAATAAAAAGAAAAATCAAATACAGAAAAATCAGTGGAGCCCAAGTTCATTCATAGAGGTGATGAATAAAACTGACATATCTCTAGCCTCAATAATCAAGGAAAAACAAGACAGAAATAACTGGCACCAAGCACAAACATTAATATGCTAATAAAAGGAATTAAGGAAACAGTATAAATTTAGTGGCAATAGATTCAATAATTTGGTTCTAGACGATGCAATAAGGCAAGAAAAAGAAATAAAAGGCATATAGATTAGAATTAAGGAAGTAAAACTATATTTGCAAATGATTGTCTCTTCTATCTAGAAAATCCTAGGGAATCTATAAAAATAACTACTAGAAATGCTGAGTGAATTTAGCAAGATTATACTGCATGCAACAAATGAAGTCTATTCCTAGATACTGGTAACAAAATAGAAATTTTTTGAAATGTGGTCTCACTGGTTGCCGAAGCTGATCTGAAACTCAGAAGTTCAAATGACTCTCTACTTCAGCCTCCCAAGAAACAGGGATGGCTGCTATTCTGCCTAGCTCAGAATTGAAAATTGTAAAATATCTTTATAATAACACCAAAATAGGAAATAGGAGAAAACTTCAAAAAATACATGTAAGACTTTTACACTGAAAACTAAAGCACTGCTGAAAGAACTTAGAGAAGATCTAAACAGAGAGATGTTTCACACTGGTAAACTGGGAGTGAATATTGTTAAGATGCCAGTTCTCTCAAAATTGACCTAAGAATCACACGATCCTAATCAAAACCCCAGTAAACTTTTTGTATAAATTTATATGGAACTAGGAAAGACTGACAAAGACAAAAATAATTGAGAAGAACAAAATTGGAAGATTTGGGGCTGGGGATTTAGCTCAGCAGCATAAGAGCCTGCCTTGCAAGCAGGCAGTCGTGAGTTCGATCCCCGGTACCGATAAAAATGAAAACGGAAAAAAAAAAAAAATTGGAAGATTTACATTTTCTATTTTCTAATCAATGCAGGATGCTGTCCACATTAAAACAGAGTAGAAATCAAGGGAAAAGAATGGAGCCCCTTAAGGGGAAAAATTTAAAAAATTAGCAGGATATATAATAGTAACTTTTTTTGATTTCCTATTAACTTGTTTTGGAAGTCCTGTAATACTCCCACGATCTTGTTTTGACTGATTAGACTCTGTTCTATTCTGTTTTATTGGTCTTGTTCTCTACTGTTTCGTTCAACTTTATAATATCTAATGAGATAGACAATTCTTTTTAAGGAAACAAGAGACATCGTTGATAACCATTGTTGATAACCTTGTACTCTGTTTTACATCATGTGCTATGTCTATCTTTGGTTTTGACTGACAGCTTTGTTTTGCCATATTTGACTTTATTCTCTCCCCCCCAAAAAGTAATAAGAACTAAGGAGTAATAAAACCCAAAATGTATAAATTTTGTTGTGAAAAAGAGAGGGAAAAAAAAAGAGCTCTAAAGGATACAACAGCAAGTGTGTTTAGGGGTGTTAAATACCCGACCATACTAATGTTTTTGGTTGGATCATTGAACACAACTGTTTGCAGTCTCACTGTTTGAATGTCCACTTTGTATTCTTTGATACTGTGATTTGAGCAACTATTTCTAAGATGATAATATGTAATCTATTACCTGGTGATTTCTTACTGGTTTTTTTTTTTTTTTTTTTTTTTTTTTTTGTAGTTCTGTATTACTTGTACCCTTACACCACTTTGTTTTGTTTTGTGTTTTTCTCTTTTCCCTTTTAAATAAAATTAAAAAAAAAAGAATGGAGCCCCCAAATATACTCACACACACTAGACCAAAGGATTAAAAAAGGGGGGGGGGGCGATTATATGGAGAAAAACAATGTTTCAACAAAAGGTGCGGGAACAAATAGATAATCTTGTTGTCCCCTCTGCAGTCACTTCTCATCATGTATAGAATAAATTTAAAGTGCATCACAAAGTTAAATATATAAAAAGCTACTCTGTAAACTGGCAGGAAAATATAGGGTGAAAATCTTAGTGGCTTTCAACCAAAACTGAAAAAGCACAAATTATGGAAGAATAAAACACAAAGAATAACACTTTTATCAGTTACTTTTTGTTACCTCAAATTTAGTGGCTTAAAATAACACAAATTAATAATTCTGTAGATCAGAAATCTGACACGCATCTCCTGGGTTAAAGGTCAAGATGCTGAGCTGCGGGCACTGAATCGAGGCCGCAGCTTCCTGACTCTGTTGGCTTCAAGCAGGAGCCTAAAGAGTGTTTCTGTGGTCTGTTGGCCATTTCAGAACATGGGCAGTGAAATGGTCAATTCATTAGAAAGAAACAGCTTGAAGCACCGCAATTCCCATGAGTGGCTGTGAGTGTGGCAGGCTCTGGTGGCCCAGGACAAGAGTCACCAGAGTTTACTGGCACCTGTGCCATGCTGAGACCTGGAGCACTGGGAAACCAAGCAACCCCTCCCCCCTCCTGTTTTGTTTTGTTGAACTTCAATATACATAAAAGTATGGACAGCTATTTTGAAGAGAATGAGAGACTCTACAACAGCCATTAGTGACTTCCCTATTGTCTGGTTTTGAAGACCTAAAACACCTTCCTTATGCAGTTTGGATCAGCTTTATACTATGTTGTTTTGCATGAATTCTCTGTATGCGAAGACATGGACAGCTATTTGGAAGAAAACAAGAGACAATATGATTGTGAAGATCTCAGGTCATCTAGCTTTGAAATTTATATCTCTTACATTGCTTTCTTACGTCCTATTTTGTTCTGTTTTGTTGTGTTTAATTTTACCCCCTTTAAAATAAAAATTAACAAAAATAAATAAATAAAATAAAATAAATCTAACTTTAAAAAAATGCTGAGCTAGGGATGTAGCTCAGAGGCAGAAGGGCCTGCCTGGCGAGATGAAGTCCTGAGTTCTATTCCTAATACAAAATAAAAATTCAGGACACCCATGGGATGATTCCCTCCTGGAGGCAGGAGGGAGAATTCTTTGTCTGCCCTGGCTCCTTCCCATCAGCTTCCCCACACTTTCTGTTTCCACAGCCAACAAAGGCAGGTTGAATCCTCCCCTTCCATCCAGCCCCTAATCACCTCTCTGTGTCCTGCTTCTCACGATTCTTAAAACGCCTTTGTGCTCACCCAGATAAACCAGGATAAGGCCTTATTTTAGGATTCAGCTGACTAACAATCTTAAAACCACCTATACCATGATTTCTCCTTCTACCATGTAAAGTTATGTATTCACAGATTCCAGGAGTTAGGTTGCTGGAAATATTTTTGGATGGGAGGGACATTATGTAGCCAATTACAAAAATGTAAACTATTTGCTCTTCAAATAATTGTGTTACAAAGAGTAAAAGATGAGTCACAGACGGGGAGAAAGATATGTGTGTAGATAGTACAAAGAACTCTTTAAAGTTTTATTTTATTAGTACGTGTTTGCAGTACATGGTTTACATTCCTCGTGGGAAGTCAGTATGTGTACATAACAGCGCTTCCTTCCGGTTTCATCCTCTTTCCCTTCCCTCCCTCCCTGTCCACCCAGCTCTTGATCCCTTTGCTTTTTAAAAAATTCAGTAAGAGGAAGACAAACAACCCAGTTAAATGATGGGCAAAGATTTGAACAGACAACGTCCCAAAGAAGACGTACTGATGGCAAATAAGCCCATGGGAAGATATTCAGTGTCATTAGTCATTAGTACTTTAATATTAAAGTCACAAAGAACTACCACTACATACCCTCTAGAATGCACAAACTTTAAAAGTCTGACTGTGTCAAGAGTGAAATTTAAACTGTGGGCAGAAAACAGACCAATGAATCCTGGAGTTGGAGTCAGGAAGACAGTGGAGAGCCACAAGGACACCGGGAGAAGCGGGTATTATATCAGTTTTTTATTGCTGCGTGATGCACTAATACAACAGCCTCTGACTTGACAGTCATTCGCTGTCTCTCGGTTTCTTGGGTCAGGGATGCAGGCACGGCTGAGCTGCTGGAGAGGCATTCACAAGGCTGTGGTCAAGGTACAGGCGGGGGCTGCAGACTCTTCTCAACCCCTGACTGGGAAGGGTCTACTCCACGGCCAGGTGATATTGACAGGGTTCAGTTCCTCACGGGTCGCTGGGCTTGGAGCTTCAGAGACCTTCTTGCTACTGGCTGGAGTCTCTGCTCATGTCAGAGATTGTGAATGTGGAGTTGTCCATAACGTAGCTCACAGTGTAGCAGCTTGCTCCCCAGAGTAAAGGAGTCCAGGCAGGATGGAAATGACAACCCCAGGTAACACAATCACAGAAGTGACTTCCCATTAGCTGCTGTGCACATTTATTGGTTAGAACAAGCCACAGGTCCTGGCCACACAGGGGGGTATACAAGGACATGAATAGCAGGACATGGGGATAGTTGGGCACCATTTCGCTGTCTGCACAGGTACATGCATTCCTACACTTACTCATGTTGATGAATAAGGACATATGGTGAAACCATTAAATTGTACATGTTAAAAATGTGCAGTTATTGTACATCAGGTGTACCTCAATGAAACTGTAAAAAGCTAACAAACTAGAAAGCTTGAGAAGCTGATTATAGAATAACACAGAGAAGCAGAGTGCCACCTCAAGCCAGGACGGAGAAAGGAAGCCTTGCATTAAAGGGTGTGTTATTCACACAGGGAGAGACAAACAGATTAAAGGACCCAGAAACAGAACCACACATGTGCGGGAACTTGATAAACAACATGCATGGTATTCAAGTCAACAGGGGAAAAGATGGATTTCTACGTCAGCCATGCAAAGACAACTGGGTATCCATATGGGAAAAAATAAAATTAGATATTTGCCACATAGCACTCACAAAAATAAATTTCAGGTGGAATATATGCCTAAATATTTCCAGAGCAGAACTTTAAAACTTTTAGAAGAATATACAGATATATCTTTATGCCTTTCATACTGGAAAGACACTTTCAAATGATTTGCAAAAATTATAAGCTATGAAAGAAGAGAGAATCAAGTCAGTTGCCTTAAATTTATAATCTGTACAACAAAAACTCCACCTGTGAAATTAAAGAACAAACCACATGAGGAGAAATTATTTACAAAGGCTTCATACCCATATGTCAAAAAAACCTCAGAGGTAGTAAGAAAATTAGAAGCCCAATAAACAGAGAAATGATCAGAAAAGATCATTCTCAAAAAATAAAGTCTCAAATACTGTATATTAGTGAAAAGATTCTCAGTGTTACCAGTAATTCATGACATGTAAATTAGAAAATTAATGAATATTTATGCCTATGATGCTGGAAAAATTTTAGTTTGATAGTATTAGTCACTGGCAGGGAAGTTTAAAAATGTGAACTCATTCACCCGTAATGAGAACATCTCTGTAAAACCATTTTGAAAAAATATTTTGACAATAACTAGCAAAGCTGAAGGTGCCTAGATCTAAGTCCTGGTTCTACCCCTTATGAGAATGTGATCATGGATATATTACTAAACCTCTGTGTGCCTCAGTTCCCTCATCTATGTAATAGAGATTGTAATCATACAATTTCTCATAGAGGCTGTGAAGCTTCTATGAGTCAGCATCAAGTGTTTACAATAATGAAAACAATATGTACAGTAGCCATTATTTGTTTTAAAGTATAAGTAACCACTAGTCTATCTTGCATTGCTATAATGAAATACCTAAGGATGAATACTTTATAAAGAAAAGAGGTTTACTTGGCTTGCAGCTTCAGAGGATAAAAGCCCAAGACTGACCCACTGATGTGGCTTTTGGGGAAGGCTCTGTTGGCTATACAAATTATAGGAAACTGGAGCCTAGGAAAGGGCCAGGCTTGTACTTTTGTAACCGTGTTGGGAGAGATATTCCAGGCCGTGAAAACCACACTCATCTTTTCTGAGGGCAGCAGCCCCACTGGCCCCTCCCCTTGCAGAGCCCATCTGGCTCTCACAGAGCCACACAGGGGACTGAGCTTCCAACCCTCAGGGGACGAGCTGCATGCAAACCATAGCAGCACGTGTGCCAAAAAGTGAAGATTTTTAAAAGCATCCTTACTCCCCCTTTTCCCTAAAATCATCATATAAGGCAGAGCAAGGTGGGCATCCATGCAGGGGAGAGGAGCTTGTCCTGGGTTGTAAGACGCAGACAGGGAAGTAGGGGGCAGAATGATGGGGGAGTCCGGTAGTGCATGGTGAGCAGAAGTCCCAGACAGAAAGGCAGCTTCCCGGGGAGCCCAAACCTGCTCGTGGGATCAGAGTCCGGGCCTGAAGGGCACCAAACAAGAAACCAGGCTGGAAACGCGGGCAAGAGGTGGTTACGGGGGAAACGTCCCCAGACCAAATGTGTAGCTATTTAAACTATAATTTTAATTTCCATGGATGTAAATTTTGTTAACTTTTTCTTTTCTCTTGTTAGAAAAGTATCTGTATCTCCTAGAGTTGACCCTTTGGACCACAAAATCTAAAATGTTTACAATTTGACCCTTTACACAAAAAGGGTCTGGCAGTCTGGTTGCAACTGATATAAATAAATGGGTGAATTTCATGTTTGACAAGAACTAGGTATTTTAGGGGGCTGGGGATTTAGCTCAGCGGCATAAGCGCCTGCCTTGCAAGCAGGCAGTCGTGAGTTCGATCCCTGGTACTGATAAAAATGAAAAAGACAAAAAAAAAAAAAAAAAAAAGAACTAGGTATTTTAATAGTTTCAAAGTGTTGCCTTACACAATACTTCTTAGTTACAAAGGGAAGAAAGAAAATTGTGGCAGTGAGGGGCTGAGCAGACAGCAATATGGCAATCATGGCAGGCATCTTCAGAAACAGGGTAAGTGGAACCAAGCTCCACATAAGGATGGGGTGGTGAGAGAACAGATCATGCTCAGGGTGTCCTGCCAAGGAGGCACGACCTGAATCTACCCAGGAGGATGCTGACCAACCCACAGGAGGGACACCAGTACAATGACTGGTCTTAACATTTTAAAATGTGAAGGTTACAAAAGTCAGGCGAAGACAGAAACTGTTCCAGACGGACAGAAGAGTCTAGAGACCCAACAACTAAATACAAGACAGGATTCTGACTTGATACAGTTACTAGCAAGGAGATTCTTGGGACAAACAGCAAAACAGTGAAGGGGTCTGGGGACGTCAAGGTGGAGCATATCGTCATGACTTTCCTGGTCCCACAGTGGCATTGTGGTTACGTTTTATGTAGATTAGCCTTGATTGTACAAGAAATGCACCCTAAATTCTTCAGAGGTGCTGGGCCATTAGTTGGCAACTTACTTGGTAGTTCAAGGGGGAAGAAGGGGTTTTGGTATTATTCTTGCAATTT